AAATTTTTTATTATTGCAACTCACGTTAAACAAGAGTCATGTTTTACATTACGTAGGTATTTAAAAGTCAAGTTCAAGGTCTCGCCGTGAAATAAATTTAAAAATCATTAATTGAATACATATCACATAAATCTATGTAATTAAGTTGTTAAATGTTTTTTTTAATCTGTCGCTATTAAGATATAAAAATCTAAAAAAACCAAATAAGCTATTAAATATTAAATTTATATTGTCTTACCAAATGCAAATTTTCCCTATTGATAATTATATTATACATTGTTTTATTTGTAATTTTATCATCACGGAAATAAACAGTATAACCACAAGATTAACTTAAGTATAGGATATACATATAATTAATTTAAATATTTAAATTAGTTAAGTGCATTTATATTTTTATTTATTTTACATTTTAAATACGATGTTTGACATTATAAACAATTTTGGTAAAGATGTGTTTATCAAATTTGATAATTTGACCTCTTTGATTAAAATTATGTATTAACTTTATTTTTATAAATAAAATTATCTTAAATGGAATTTACTAAATATTATACAAAAGCACGAAAAATGCTTCATCTTTTTCTTGCCTTTAAAATTCGGTAAATACTAACATATTTTTCTACTCCCACCTTTAAAACGACATGACACTAAGTGACCTTTTAAATACACATTGACAAGTTGAGGCTTTATGGAGTTTTAGTCACGTGATGAAGTTAGTTTTAAGTTAGTTGACAGTTGTCAAATGTCATACAATCGTTAAAATAAAATGATATTCTTGTGAAATAATAATGAAAAAATTATTTTATTATCTTTTCAAAAATAAACAAGTTTTAAATACATAGTTTTGATTTTACCGGCAGTTAACTAATAAAGCATTACAACCCAATAAACATTTTTGCTTTTATAGTGGTTACCATAAATGTTATATCATCCAAATTATAAAACCTAAATTTCTTAATTTGGTTGCAGAAGTATTTATATCACTTTTATATACCCCTTAAAGAGCTTATTTGGGAAGTATATGAAGGTTATAGGTACCTATTTTATTAACACTATAAAACCCAAGTTTTATATGTAGAGATAATAGGAATATTATGGAAACCATTATATAACTTCCTAAAATTTTTCTCTCTCCCACACTTAAAATATAAATTTCTTCCTTGATACGCTATCTTTCTTATTGTCAACCTATTCATTAACTTGTTTAAACCTCGTGAATATTTTGTAGTAGTTTGAAGTATAGCGAAAAAATTAATGGTAATAATTTTTACTCAATACAAATTAAAGTTCAAAGTAATTTTCATTGTAAATAGGTACACAATACTTCGAAAAACAGCAGGGGACATCAAAATACCAAAACATAAATATTTTTATACTATTAAAATTATATGAATATATATTTTTTTTAATACATTATTATCTTTCGTTTGCTTACATTAAACAAAATATGAATTTTTTACCTTGGTTTGGCCAATTAAGTTGTTTTTGAAATACAATTTGATTAAGATTTATTTTATGTACAAAACAATAACAATCATGGAAAGAATGTATCAACCTTGAGCCCTCTTATATTGCTCATTGTAATTTTATATAACCTAAGGTACTAGTTCAGTTTTATAGGACTATTTAAGTTACTTAAAGTGGTATTATATAATTTTGAAACTCTTATATACGTTTTAGTAACTGTCGTTACTACAAGTGTTTTTACAAAACTTTTGATAGGCAACCATCTAACCCCTCAAAACTATTGTTGTCAGGTTTGCCATTTTTGCCTGCAATATGAAAGGTTTTAAAGCTATGGAATCAATTTATTTCACAAAACATTTAATTTAATCCACTTTAAAATAGTTATGTTAATACTATTTTATTACTTATATACGTACATATTATATGCTAAATATTTTAAATTAAAATTATGAAAAAGCGTACTAAAAATTTTTTTTTTATCAAGCACCTAAATAATTAATAACTCACAATTTTTATTTAAAAAATTAATGACACCATGATTTTATAAAACAGCAAACTTTATAAAACTCGTTTATAAACCCACCTAGAGTTTACAGTAACCTTATATGACAAAATTATAAAACTAGTAAACTAAATGGAGATTTTATAAAACCTTGTTATACTCTTATATAATTTGGCAACCTTTATATAACCTTTATATAATTTATCGTTACCATAAGTAGTACAAATTGGGAATTGGTAATATTGGGAATGCTACTCGTTTATAAACCTTTTAATTAAAATTTGTTAGGTACTAAAATAGCGTTTTTAAAACTTGATACATAATATACTATTACAGAAAATTTTATGCAAAATCTTTATCTATTTGAGTAACAAATCAGAATATTTTAATTTAACTAATTAAAAATTTCAAATGTATCTAAAATTAAAGATAAATTTACATAATAGTATACTATGAAATGGAAATTCCTGTATATGTTTACAATATGTATTGCGTAATTTAAATGTTACCAAAACCATGTAAATTCCATACTATAAATTTTTCTCAAAATCTATTTCTCCGAATAAACAAATACGAAAAAATTAATTTGTATTAAAAACTACACAAAAATGTATTACTTCATCTAAGAAATTTTTATCTATTTAAATTTATGTTTCTAAATATTTAATTATTCATAAATCCAATCATAATAATTATTATTGAGTATAGAAACGTAGTTATTGTTTACATGCGTAAATAGGTACTCTAGAAAGTGTGTAAAATAAACAAATTTACAAAATAAAATTAATAATTTCAAAGGAACAACTTTTAAATTTAATTATGCTTTTACAAAATAACTGTATACAGTAATTGGTTAACTAAATATTTTTTATTCTATGTTTTATCCTAACTGTAAATTATAATTATAGGATTCATTTGGCAAACAAGTTGTTTTAACTATCAAATAGTTTTTGTACTTGATCATCATAAAACATTTTAAAAGTCGTATAAAAACAGTATAATTATTACTTGTTGGTTGATAGTCTAGTTCTGACGTTAATCCTAACGGATGATTGAACAAAAAAAAACAAGTCATCGTGATTTTTGGGATGTTTCGTAAGAGTACAAGTACAAAGTAGTTTTAATATTTTTTTGTCAAAAATACTAGTATACTGTTTTAGCATAATTCAAGACACGATAGGGAGGGTTATACCGAGTGGTACATAATGTTTTGAAGAAATTGTCACAAAAAAAGTATAATTTCCAAATATTTTATTTAAATTGGACTATCTTGACTGTTTTGTTATTGTTAATCCGACTTTTTACCATACCTAAAGAAAAAAGTCGAAAGAAGGGATAATGTTATTTTTATAAAAAAATTTCCTAAATGTTTACTTTTCTTGAAAAGCTAAGATAAAAGTTGTGTAAATTAAAAAAAAATTAGCCTTTCTCAAATAATTAAAAAAAACTATAAAACCGGTCAAAACCAAAAATTGTTATTATTAAATTATTCCTCGAAATTTAAAAAAAAACTATTTTTAAGGTAAACATACACAAACATCATTAAATTTGTGATTTTTTGCCAAATAGACTTTAAGTTACAATCGCCATCTTTTGTTTTTCCTTTGGCCGCCATATTGGTGTTTTACATGGTTGTATAGAAGAAAAGTCAAGGATGGGATGGGACTTTAAGCCCGCAGTCCGTTCCTACCCCTAACCCGCACAAGCCATTCAGTTGGCTTATGGGACTTCTTAAGACGTAAGGGTGGAACTAAAAGAGCACTTTTGTAAAAGAGCACTTTTGTAAAAGAGCACTTTTTGTTTATAAAAACAAAAGATGGTAATGTAGCGAAGATATTGATTGAAAATTTGTTAAATTTACTTACAATTAGGGTTTTAGAGTGTAGTAAAAAAAAACGAAAAAATTGGGGGTAAAACGGTTTTTTCCCGTTTTTTCCAGGCCTTGGAAAAATTGTCTTTTTGGGAAAAATTAAATATTTTTAACATTATTTTAATTATTTCAAAAGTCAGAAAGAAGGATTTAGTAGTTTTCTTCAGAATTCAGAAAAGGGATGAGGAATCCGAGAAAGAAATAAATGAATTATATGATATTTACAAAAACGAAATAAAAAAATTACCTAAAACAGCAATTTCTTTTTAAAAGATGTTTAACAGTTTATGTTATTTGATGTAAAGTTGTTATGTTTATATACAAATTGTATGTCCAATTACTAGAGTTGGGGATGGTCAATTGACTGTCAATTGACCGGTCAAAATATATTTAATTTTTGCAGCATTTTATTTGTATTAAAAATTACCCGTGAATCTCAAAATTTTTGCCATCGTGCAATATCGACATCATTTACAATTTGGTGGTTCCCCGAGTCGAGAGGTTGCTAGGCCGGACTCGGCGCTTTGCCCTTAAAGCGGGACATATCTTTTTTAATAGCGAAACATAACTTTTTAAATCCGCACAAACGTTTATAAAGATGGACATAACTTTTATAATAAAAAAAAATTTGGTATCGTATTTTAATTACCTATCACCGTAAAATTTTTGATATTTTATTTAATTTTATTTTGGTCAATTGACTGGTCAATTGACCAAAAATAATTTGACCGGTCAATTCCACAACCCTACCAATTACTATGGTCCATGTGTCCAATTACTACATAAAATGTCCAATTACTATACTTTTTTGCATGTTTTTATAAAACTATTATTAAAAATTCAAATATTCTTATTTTTAAGTAAACGTAAATAAAGTTTAAAAAATTAAACTATTCTTTTTATATATTTATAAGAAAATGTCCAAAAACTATGTGGTTTACCTATAACACTTTTTAAAAGTTTTAAATATATCTAAATTGCTAGAAATAAAAACATTTTTGTTTACCTAAATTATTAATGGTTACTTAATTTAAACGGTTATAATTTAAAAATCGGTGGTCTTAAAATTGTTTATTAGTGCGGATATATTTGTGTGGTTTACATTTTTTAATGCCTGCGCCTAATCCTAATTGCGCCAGCGTGGTTTTTCAAGTTTGTGGGTAAACGTTAAGGCAGCTAATCGCGATCACGGGTTACCCCAATTACATCAGAGGAGACTCGCTTGCAGTTTAAGATAAAGCGAAGCGCGCGGTTTGTTCAAATAACAGTTTAGCGGTAAGTTCCTCTGAAACCGGGTCGTAACAGTTTCTGTTCAGCATACACACACACGAAATCGAAGAAAACTCACAAAGTTTCGGTGCTCGACCGACCATGGACTGCAATTGTCGGTATTACGTCGGGCCATCGTTGGCCAACACTTGCGGCGGAAGTGCATACGTTTTGTTTATGACCCTGCTCGACACGTTTATAAGGAACAAGTGCGATCTATCGGAGATCTGCCAGAGGGTGCAGCCAAAGCTGAGACCCGATCCTGAGTATGATTTCGTTGTTATTGGGGGAGGAAGTGGAGGGGCCACAGCGGCCGGCAGATTGTCCGAAGTGTCGCAATGGAAAGTACTTTTGATTGAGGCCGGGGGAGATGAGCCTCCAGGTGCACAGGTAAATTAAAAACAGTTTTTACACCCAAGCAGCATTTTAAGTAAAAGCGTAGAGCTTTGAGGCAATATTACTTAATTTAAGTAAATATTTTGTTAAATTAACCTTAAAAATTTACTTTGAAGTAAAACTTTTTTTAAAGTTATAAGTTTTATTTATGTTATTTATACCTATTTTAATAACCCTTAAGTTTCAACACTTTAAAGTATTATGAGGGAAGTAATTTTTACGAAATAAAGTTACTTATAAGTGTATTTCACCTAAAGGAAAATTTAACGGTAATTTTAACGTCAAAATTTTTACTTAATGGTAAATTTTACTCATAAGTCATTATTTTACGATATTAAGACCACTTTATAACCATAAATAATTCCTATTCGCCTGGTATTTTTTAGGGTTATTAGTGGGTAATAAATACTAATAATATTGACTAAACAAGGAAGTGAAAGTGAAAAATAAAACTTTGCGGGAATTTTTTTTTAGGTCGCCGTAATGAGTTTTTTAAGATGGCATCCATTTTTTCATGAATATCTTTCTAAAATATAATAAGAAAAGTTTTAGTTATTAAAAAATGATTAAAACTAAATGATTTTTAAAAGATTTTATAAAATTTTGTAGGTTTTAAGTTTTGTTGAATTTTTACCCAAGCAATAATTTTTCTTAAAACCGTAAAATATTTAGAGGGCATATAATTTTTAAGACGTCTCGAGCCTATTTTCATCAATAAAATAATGTGCGTTTGAGTTTTAATGCAAAATATCAATGGTTTTGACAATTTAAGTTATATTTTTTAATTTTACTCTAGGGTGGCCTTTATTACTTTGTAATTACCTAAGTTCCTACCATTTTGTAAAATATAAATTAAAAAAAAACAACGAAATTACGAATATCAATGTTTAAGAAAGAAAGAGCAAACAGTTAGTAATTATAGCGTTATTTTTACGTAAATTTGTGGTATTTATATTGTTTTTATTACGTAATTCTTTTAGTAGATCAAAAAGGTTATTATGTGGGTAAAATAACGAAATAAACCATTCCCCAAATTTGGTAATTTTTCGTATCTATACCGTTATAAAACCGTTTTGGTTAACCTTAAAAAATACTTTAAAGTTGACTTAGTAGTAAATTTGTAGTTATTTAAACTTAAAATGCTGCTTGAGCACCTTTATAAAAACAAAAATGCACAATCACGATATCTACTATATGAATCACTAGTTCAATATGATTTTCCTCCAATGAAAAATGTTAAGAGATTTTAAAAATAAAGGTTAAAAAACGTACCAATGTCTCACCGTTTCACGAAATCACGCCATTAAAATTTTTTATACAGCCATTCTTAATATTTTAACCTATACAGATTTTTAATTCTCTATTTTGTTATAATTAATTTTTTTTTAGAATATTGTATGTTTTTACATAATAAAAAAATTATACTATAAGAAAATAATAATTTAATTTTTTTGTAAGTAAAAAAAATATTTCTGATTTTTTTTAATAAAACAACAGATTAAATATATGTTGGTAACAAATCTTGATCTTTTAGTTTAACGATTATAAGTGCATTGCTTTTGAATCTAACGTGGTATCACAAACTAAAAAACAACACTTGAAGTTTCTGGGAAATTAAATTCACTTTAGGTATAGTACATGGTAGAGTAATTTTACTCAGAATTTTATGAAGAATTTAAAAATATAAAAATATGTATATAGGGTATTCTGTTAAAAATAACAAAGTTAATGTTACTTCCGGTCAAACCGGAAGTGGAATTTTGTTTAAAATATTTTAGAAAAATGGGCTTAAGTGAATTATAAACGCTTTTTTTCTACGTATAAAGAAAATTGGAAAATTGATTAGTATACAGGGAAAAACGAAAAGTTTATTTTTTTTATGGATCACCCTATATATGTATTAATTTTTCGATTCCTTGTAAAATTCTAAGCATATTTCACACAACATACCATATACCTAAATTCAACCGTTTCTGAAATATTTAAATTATTTTTAAGATATAATAAGTTGAAATAGTTTGTCTTTCTCTGTCTCACTACGCCATTTTTACATATTGAGATAATATCACTATAGTAATTTATTTTCAATTAAAATTTTGGTACACTGAGGCTTCTTGATTTCTAACAGTTTAAAAAACATTTAATGACAACATTTCGAATGCGAATATTTCAGAAACGATTGAATTTAGGTATATGGTTTGTTATATGAAATATGCTCTGAATTTTACAAGGAATCAAAAAATAAATTCATATATAGGGTGGTCCATTGAAAAAAAATAAACTTTTTGTTTTTCCCTGTATATTGATCAATTTTCCATTTTTTTATACATAGAAAAAAGGTATTTTTTAGTACCCACATAACCACACTTTTAAATTTTTTGGGACACTTAAAATAAAAAAGTTAAAGGGGGGCTACATTATAGGGGATCACCCTGTACAGTCTAGCTGTTATCGAAGCTTTTATGGACCGAATACCGTAGATAACAATTTATTGGATCGCACTCAAAAAAAACTTCGTGATCTGAAAAACGCCGGGACAAGGGATCCTTTTTTAAGTCTATTTTCAAAATCTATAGAAATTTTTGATGGGAGAGAAAAAAAAATCAAATTTTGCCGTACCTACTGTGTAATACATAAGTTTCATATAATATATTAAGTGACTACAAACAGACTTAATACTTTAATACTTTAATACTTAAATCTTCTTAAAATATCCATATCCCGAACAATGTGCACATAAAAATACTTAAATATTATTAATATATATTGGGTAAGAATCACCGGTGATTCATGAATCACCGGTGATTCTTACCCAATATATATTAATAATATTTAAGTATTTTTATAAAATAATTTAAACAAAATGCCACTTCCACTTTTACATTTTTAAATTATATATAAAGTTACTATACCATGTCATAATATATTATATATTATACCTAAAGTGAATAGTTAGAGTTATTTTTTTTAGTTAAAATTTGACAAACGCGCGTCAATCAAAAATAGCCTATAACTTTTTTGTTATTAGGTTTGCTGATATGGCGGTGACTTGAACTTGAACTTGAAAGGTTAATAACTTTTTTAAATGTACCTCCTAGTATGTTTTTACTTAACCAAATATATATATGGAATACTATTCCCTATCTAATATTCTATCTAAAGTTAATAATTTCACAGAAATTTAACAATTTTAAATATTATTTTTTCGTTGTTCAAAATTTAATGGCGTAAATTTTTATAAGCAATTTGTTAACTAATTAAGGGTCTGGTAAACAATATTACTGATAAAAAACAGCAGTAAGTTTATTATAAAAAATCATTGACAAGCAAAAAATTTTAAAAATTTAAAAGTACAAACAGTACCTAATTATATGGTAATTAAAAAAAAACTTAAGAAATCTGTTAGTATAGCCTATAGGCTATTTTTATTCACTTTAGGTATAGTTATAGTAATTTTACTCAGAACTTGATGTGGAATTTAAAAATGTAAAAATATATGGGGTGTTCTATTTGAAATAACAAAGTTGAAATTTTAAAATTTTAAATCGATATCTTTTTCCGTCCCCCAGAATCTTCTTATGGACCATGAATGTGAAACACCCTGTATATACATTTTTTATTCTGTAGGCTATTAAGTAGTAAGTAAAATACTAAGGATCGTATGCAGAAACGTTGACTTATTTATATCAACTGATTTAGCATATCTGTAAATTTAGGTTTTTGCACGACATGGCAACGCAATAATTTTCTTTAAAAACAGTTATTTTATCAAATAAATTGGGTAATTCTTTAAAAGTTTTTATTACCCCTAAAAATATAATTTCTACACATTGACATTTTGCATTAGATATAAAACAATTAAATCATGTAAAATATAAATCGGTTGATAATTTATATAAGGCTGATTTAAAATACCTATATAAAAATAAATCCAGAAGGTAAAGAATAAAACATTTTTAAACATAAAATTACTATTATGTTAATCATATATGATATATCAAATATCTTTACTGTTTTTTTGCCTGACCAAAAAGCTAAAGGCTTGAAATCAATTGATTTATTATTTTATTTAGTTCCATTGAAAAGGAATTACCCCTAACATTGTACTTGGGTGAAAATATTTATTAAAACATTTTATTATTATTAAAAACATACATACCTTCCATTAATATTGACTTTTTATAGCATACCTAGATAATTAAAAAATACTATTATAATGATTAATAATAATAAATAAAATGTATAAATAGAAATAAATAAATAGGGCAAAACAAATTTAATTAAAAACAATCAAAATTGAGTTTAAAAAAAAATTTTCTTAATTTTTTTATACTTCAACTTATTTTCTGCTTTTATTATTTAAATTATGAGCTTGTTCTTTAAATAGAAACAGTAGGTTTGTATTGTATTATTAATTATAACAAGTATTGTTTGTTTTTGTGCCCAGAAATACACTTTTGTGCCCAGAAATATACTATATAGTATAGTATAGCATAAACATATGTTTAGCAAATACATAAAAGCAAATTAAATGGAGGAACAAAAGGGCAACACCATATTTAAAATTGAATATACATTTTATAATACATTTATTAACAGTTTAAAAGATATTTTATAAGAAAATAAAAAATACACCCTGTAGGTTAAAACAAAGCAAAAATAGGCACATGTGTGAAACTATGTTCTTATATGTTTGGTTCAAATTGTTTTTAGCATTTGTAATATTTATTTGATAAATAATTAAAAATATGATCCGCAAAAAATATTTAAATTTTGAAAATAAAATAAACAGGGTATAAAATCTGGGCTAGAACTGCAACAGTTAAATTTTAAAATCACTATTATTATAAGGTAACAGTTCTTAAAATTTTTATATATTTTTAATATAAATTATTTAAAAAACAAATTGTATGTGTCATGCATATTTTTTTTCATTAGGTTTAATTTAACCTTTTTGAAAAGCAAGGATTCTTGCCTTATGTCCAGCATGTATAGCCAGGATTTAGTTCAGGGGGGACAGGCAAAAAATTAAATTGTGAAATAAAAAAAATGTAAATGTTTTTTTACTTATTACACACAATTTTAAAAAATTTTATATTACCAAAAAACCAATATAAATTAATTTAACCAATTTAATTAAACATTTAACTTTATAAGCAATTTATATTAATTTATATAAATATTTTAATTTCAGAAATGCGTAGATTAACCAAATAATTGAATTGTTTGTTATACATAGTATATGTACTTAGGTATACTAAACCTTTTAAATTAAAGAATAATAACATTAAAAATAACATACCTAATTTAAAAATAATTTTGTTTTTAATTTTATTTATTTATTTATGAACTTTGTTATCGGACCATAAAAAACTTCCTGGACAATATATAATTATACGGATACTTTATTTCATAATTAAAATTTTACCACTGTTAAATTTACCATATAATATATGTAGGATAAATATGTGCCCAATAAAAAATGTTTTTATTACTTCCTACTAAGAATAATTTTTTTATACATTTTATTCAGGGTTTAAGACCACGTTTCTGGTCCTCGTATCAGGACAAAATCCAAACGGTGTGGAAACATAGGCCGAATAACTAAATTTCTGAGAAAACTTAGGTAACGTTTCAAATGTAATAAGAACTATTTGTGAAACTACTGGTATTGAAAATATCAGAAACAGAATGACATAAAAACGTCTACTACACCTTTTCCAGTTGATATTCAGAAAGTAGCAATTGATATTCAGAAAGCAGCAATTGATTTTCAGATATTGAAAATGAAATTCAGAAAATAGCAAATGTAATTCAGATATTTCAAATGATATTCAGAAAGTAGCTGATGTAATTCAGATATTGAAAATGATATTCAGACAGTAGCAATTGATATTCAGAAATTACAAATAGTATTCAGACAGTAACAATTGTAATTCATAATATATTAATTGAAATTCAGAAATTAACAAATGATAACATTTTTATACTTCATTTTACTTATTTTCTAAAATCTCAATTTAATGTATTTCTTTGTATATTGCTTTGTTTCCATGGAATTGACAATAATAAACAAATTTATCACCATTTAAGTAGGTATATTTATCATAATTGTCAACTTATTGCAAGTAAGGACCGAATTTTGTTCATTTGTACTTTATATAAATTTCATTTACTTAGTTAATAAAGATAACGTGTACTTTCATTCATCATCGATTTACTGTATGCAACCAACTGTTCCTAAAACAATTGCTGCGGCTGAATTACATTTGATTTAATCTGAAAAACATTTGCTACTTTCTGAATTACAATTGCAAGTTTCTGAAAATCAATTGTGTTATCTGAATTACAATTGCTACTTTCTTAAAATCAATTGTGTTATCTGAATTACATATGCTACTCTCTAAAAATCAATTGGAATAGCTGAATTACAATTCCTACTATCTGAATATCAACTGGAATAACTGAATTACAATTCCTACTTTCTGGGACAGAGCGGTCAAATATATCCATATATGGAAACATAAAAAGTATCAAAACAGAAGTAACAAAATAGTTTTAAAACCAATGTAAAGAAACGAAACCTACATAAGCGTCGTGAACGAAACTATATATAAAACTTACATATTAAACCTTAAGGTATAAAATGGTAATGAAATTTTCGTTTCCAGAGCCATCGTTTCTAAACTTCTTATTCCCTCTTGCGTTTTTTTTAAATTAGTGGACAAGATACTGAAAGAAGGGCAGTTTAATTTCTATGCTTTGTTTCGGTAAAAAATATTGATTTTATTACGCAATAGCCTAGTTTAAATTTCATTTTTCAAACATAAAAAGTCTAATTGCTCTTAATTAATAGGGTTTTATTGACTTTAAAACGGCTCGAATTTATCGGTCCTGACAGTGAATTTAAAAATGACCGCATGGCTGGTTTAATCGGCGCAAATCCAATCACCACCCGCCATCCAATCAAAACTTTTATTTTACCTGCGACCCCAGAGGCTCATCACCCCTGGCTTCAATTAGAAGCACTTTCCATTGAGACACCCAGTTTAAATTTACCCCCAGTAATCTCAAAGACTATAGAAAATCGTGTAAAATTAATAATAATTTTCTTAATAATTAATGTGAGTGGGTGGTTGCAAGTCCCTGTATATTTTTGATGTAGGGAAAGTCAGGACAATATATTTAAAGATAATATGTCAAAAATATAAGTCAAAATTGGTTATATTAAAATAAGGGATTTGGTAATTTTTTTTTAAAGGAGATATGGATGTAAATATTTAGAATGAAATAGATGAGAAGAGATAATGGAAAGAAAGTTCCATTATGATAAAAATAAGAAGGGTTAAGTGTAGCGAGTTTGATTATGTCATTTAAAACATGTATACATGTTCTTTACTCATTTATTTTATTTATTATTTATTATTATTACACATACAGGGTGTCCCAAAAGTCAACGATATTCTTTGGAGGACTGATAGATCAACTTATGACCAACTAGAAAATAAAAACAGCTACAAAATCTACTATTAGTTTAATTTTGAATTGTAATTAATAGCAGGCCTATTCAGGGTCACGCAACATAAAATATAATCTAAGAATATAGAATTTTGTAACTGTGGCACTCGAAAAACTGATCTTAGTTGTCAAGTTTCACAAAATTCATAAAAATGACAATATCTTAAAAACCAATGATTTTTTACTAAGGTCATGTTTTGATATTCTGATTAGTCATGAGCTGACCTATTAGTCCTTCAAAGGATATCATTGACTTTTGGGACACCCTGTATATACATTAATGCCTAGACAAACTATAAGCTTATTAATTGGGAAGCTTATAGCTTGTCTAGGCATTAATATATGTATATATAAATGCCTAGACAATCTATAAGCTTATTGGAATGTATAGAGGTATATGTAATAATAATAAATAATAAATAATAGAATAAATGAGTAAAGAACATACGACATATAACCTTGATAAGGTATGAAAAGATCCACAAACAAATTGTTTAATTTTGGATTATTGTATAGATAGGTACAATAAAAAATGGATTAAATATATAATATATATAATATCATTCTTAAGTAATTAATATATGGATATAATATATATTAATATATATTATATCATTCTTAAGTAATTAATATTTTTTTTTCAAGCGCAGTTCAAAAGTCAAATTATTATAGGTACACCGCCGTACAATAATAAAAATAATAATTGTTTCGGCCTGTGCAAAATCTACATCCGTAAATATTTTTGGTAATGTCTAAAAATATATTAGTTAAAATTGACTAGTTTTCGAAATGAAAAAGCAGTCACTAATAACTGGAGTCCACAGCAATTTGTATTCCGTACATTTAATAGCAATTTCTTATCTAAAATTGTCCCATGAATCCAAAAAGACCGTCACAAATGATGAAAGAAGAGCAGTTTTTGACAATTTTATATAATATGGAAAATTGACTATATCTCAAAAACTGATTTACTTTTACAACTTTTGGATTCAGCGGATAATTTTACATATTTACAAATTGCTGTTGACGAGAATTATTAGTAGCTTCTTCTTCGCTATGACAATTAGTCATTTTTAACAATTCATTTTGGAGAATACATGAGACCAAATTCCTGTAGCCCGAATTTATAGCTGTTATAGTAGCAGTCATGCGGGGCATAGTGGGGTACTAAATAAATGTTCCCCACTTTGGCCTTAAAGCCAATTTTCCCTAAAAAATAAAAAACTGTTTGTTTTTCTCTCCTTTAGATTATAATATTTTGACACTTTTACTTTTAACAGAGGTTAATGAAGGTGTACAAGTGTTTATATGCATTTTCAATTTTTGCAATGTTCTAAAAAAAATTTATAATAAAACCAACACAATTTTATTTCTTATAAGTTTCCGAATTTTTTTCTGTTACAATGACGTTTGAATAAAAGTTTCGTAATTAAAACGTAATTAAAATGACAATTACATAAATAAATAGTATGGTTAAAACATAATAGTTATTTATGTCATTAGGCCAAGAAGTGAGTCCTATAATTGAGCAAAGCACAAAAAGACCTTCTAGCATACAAAATTTGTTCTTCAAGCTGTAATGTTTTAACATTGTAAACCAATTTTATTTCTTAAACGATACCTACATGAAACGTACAATTATTAAAAGAAGAAAGTGAGGTTAGAAACGTCTTAAAGATATCGAATTTTACGACTGCATACAAGGGCAAGAAAGTTTCTCCCAATTTAAAACCCGATTGGTCCAAATCACAGTGGATAATAAATCACCCAATCACTGACTGACTTCTTAATTTTTTTGTTTACTTTAATTGTCATTTTTTATTTTAGAAATTTTGTGCTAGGTACAAGATGTCTGATTTCAAATAATTTCTAATGTATCATATCATTTGAAGGATAATTAAAACAACCAAAAATTTTTTTCCAGGTACCATCGATGGTGATAAGTTACCATGGCAACCCGCACGTGGACTGGAACTACAAAACGGATCCGGAAAAATCCGGCTGTCAGGGATACCCGGAAAAGAGATGCTCGTGGCCGAGAGGAAAAGTCCTGGGAGGGTGCAGCGTCATCAACGGTATGATGTACATGAGGGGAACCCCCCGAGATTACGATAACTGGGCTGCTGCGGGCAACAAAGGGTGGGCATACAAGGTATGTTTTCTTCAAAAGTAATTGGCAAAAAAAGTACAAAGATTTAAAAAATATAGTTATGTACAAAAACAATCTTGTTAAACAAATGTTAGTTTGTTTAAGATGAACTTCACATTCATTTTTGTAAACTCAATTCAGTTATAGTCAATGACTATTTTTACTCTATTTAAGGATGTGCTGCCAGAATTCAAAAAGCACGAGGACAACTTGGAGATTGGCACGCTGGTCGATGCTAAATACCACGGCAAAGGCGGACCTATGACCACACAGAGGTTTAACGATCAACCGGAACTTGCATACGATATCCTGGACGCGGCAAAAGAGCTTAAGTATCCCGTTGTAAAGGATCTCAATGGAGAGCAGTTTGCAGGTTTTACCGTCGCACAGACATCCACCAGGTATGTATTTCAACTTCAGTAATAAATTATTACTCATTAAATAATTTGGAAAATAAGTACAAGTAAAACAAACGTCTGGGTGTAAATGGGTCATTTTCAAAATTATTGTACATTTAAAGAAGAAAAAGTAAAAACAAAAACTCTACAAATCTGTTTTTTTTTAAATTTTGTTTATTTTGGGTTGTAATTTAACACCTTAAAGTGGGCAGTTGGATTTTTTTAAAGAAAAAAAGAAAAAAATGGTCCCTTGGGTCACACATTATTAAAAAAACTTATATAAAAACATTTTGAAAATATATTTTTTCTTGTTTATATTCCTTTTAAGGTTTTATTTACACTAGGATTTGTAAAAAGAAATTTTCTTTTAATGCGTAATAAAAACGTTTTTTCTCGATTTTTTTATCTTGGCCCAGCTTGTCCAATTTAACGAGTAATAAATTAATAAAAAGTCAATATTTTATGTTTCGTTGAAATTTTTTCCAGCTTCTTTGAGGCAAAATACATTGACTAAGAAAATTACTATTAAAAAGGTGGAGGACATTATTTTAAATTGGCTACATACTGTCAGAAACAGAAAAGGTGGAAGGTCGAAAAAAAATGTTTTTAAAACTTTCCTATAAGTTTATTATTATTTCAAAAATATACCTATTATAATTTATTTCTTTGGAATTGTCCCCTGGATCACATAACTTTCCCCTGGCTCACACAATATGTGATCCAGGAGACGTGTGACCAGCGTTGCCGTTGCCGGGTATTTTACCCAAAATTCGGGTATTTTGGAGTATGTGCCGGGTAAAATAATTAAACGGGTAAAACCGGGGATTTTAACCCTTTGACCCAAACAGCAAAAAATAAAACTTTAAAATTAAAATTCAACCATTCGACCTACGCTATTTCTGCGAAAATGAAAATGTCAAAGTTCATTTTGATTTTGATATTGCGCATGTCCTTGACGTTAATTTGACAGTCAACGGGTATTTTATTTATAACAGAAACAGACTGATCACCTACACAATCGCCGCATTATTACACACAAAAGAAGGAGTCCAGAGGCAGGAGGTCCTGTCAGAATGTTAAATTCTAATTTACGGAAAAAATAAAGTACTTAATCCCTGAGAGGAGGTTCATATCTATGTATTAATAAAGTTCCTACCTAATGGTATTAGGCTAATACCTACCTATTTACTATTAATAAAAATTTGACCTCTTTTTTTAAAAAACAAGCCACGTATTCGGACGGGTAATTTTATGGAGATTTTCATGTTAAAGTGGGGGTAAAACCGGGTATTCTGTCATAGTGGCGTGGCTAATTGATAATTTCAATGCGGCAACGCTGCGTGTGACCCAGGGAAAATGTATGTTTTTAGAACATAACCTCTTTACTGTTTTAAAGATAAAAAATTGTATTTGCTCTTAAAACCATTACTAGGATACTTTCTTTCGAGAATCAAACAAAGTCCAACTGGTACCTTTACTACTTTTTATTACTGTGGCACAAGAGAATTCACAACTTTGCCACGCTGGTATTAAAAATTCAAAAAAACGTGTTGTGGCTTCAAGATAGTTCAAAACATCATTTCCTACTAAAATCCGTTACCAAATACAATACAAGGGGGCAGCACCAAAAAATGTGCGCACAATTTAAATAACATTAAGTAGTAAATATTATTGCAAGTGGTATAGCTACTTTTCGGTACTGTTGGGTAAAGTTTAATTTTTTTATAGAGTTGAATTTAAAATTTTATAATTTTTCCAATATACCGGGTGTATCTGAGAATAGGCGCACCCCTGTAACTTTTTTATTTATAAAGATAGACACATGAAATTTAGCATGGTTAATTAAGATATAAAATGCCGCTTATAAGAGAATAAGTTTTTTGAACTTCCTGTTTTGCCGGAAATGATATCAATTTTCGATTTTAAAATGGAACGCCCTATATATCTTTACATATTTAGAATCCGGAGAAAATGCTGAGTCGGACAGCATCCTCAAATTGACCTTTCAAAGTTTCGTCATCAGAAAATGCATAATCATAAAGATCAATAAAGATTGCTTTGAACTATTTGAGAAAAACGAATTTTGACAAGTTTAGACTGCTGGGAATAGCTAAATAACAACTTTCTAAGGCAAGTTCCATTTTTCAGGCATTGTGTGAATCCATTAGAAGAAAATAAGATAGTTCAAAGCACTCTAGATTGATCTTTATGATGATGCATTTTCTGATGACGAAACGTCAAAAGGTCAATTTGAGGATGCTGACTCAGAATTTCCTCAGGATTCCAGAAATGTAAAAATATATAGGACATTCCATTTAAAAATCGAAAGTTGGTATCATTTCCGGCGAAACCGGAAGTTCAGGAAATTCAGTTTGCACTCTTATAAGTGGAATTTTATATCATAATTAACCATGCAAAATTTCATGTGTCTATCTTTGTAAATTAAAAAGTTACAGGGGTGCGCCTATTCTCAGATACACCCGGTAAAGTTGCTAAAAACACTAACTAATTGATTTCGCTTAGTTAAGATCCAAAAGGCTTTAAACTTAATTTTTTATAAAATACTAATGCTGAGGGACAATAAATGTATTTTTTTAACGTTTCATGATAATATTAATATATAAAACATTGCATGATATTGATTGTGTCTTGTAAGCATTACAAAATATAAATTTTATGTACAATTGCCGTATTTTTTAAGATTTACCGTACTTAAACTAGTCAACTAATTGGGCATTAAAAGAGTGTTATTGGTCTAGAAAACATTGCCAAAAAACCGATTAATCAAATTTTTACCTAAATTTCTCGAAGGGTATCTGTTTACAAAATTAAAATTTCACCCTGTATTTAAGAAGATATAAACAAAAGGGTAAATGTTCATTTTTCATGCCAATATCGTCAATAAAAATACCAATAGTTCGAAATATCGTATTTCTCTTATTGCTCTCGTCTGCTTCTGTGTTAGTTTTGAAGCTTATAATGCAAAAACCAATTTTTGTTTTGCCCGTAACGGACGTGGAGTCCTTTGGGGTCAATCTATCATAATTTTTCTGCATAGGTTCAGAAAATTTGCTACTGCATTGTTTTAAAACTAAAAAATAACGCATCGTTTATGCAATAAAAAAGGAAAACCGAAGCATTTACAATAGTTATTTACATGACAAATGCGTATTACGGCCATTAGTTAGGGTAGTGTTGGAGCGAAAAGCTTCTATAAATTTGTAAATTTTGATTTGTAAAGGTTTTAAGTTTTTTTAGAAATGCGAAAGGAAAACACGGATAGTTTTATTTAATTTAGGAAGCTTTTTGTAATAAAAGACATAATGGAATATTGCAACACTAGAATGGGACCCAAAGCTATTGGAGTGTAAATGTAGTGTATTGAAATCATTTTATTTCAGCAACCTTTGTATTTTATTGTATTTATTTAATATATTATAAGCAATATTTACTTGTTAGTAAATGCTTTTGAAAGGATCAAAATCGCGTTTCTTTAATAAATAAAACGAGTAAATATTTCATTACAATAAAATAAACAAAAATAGTTATTTATACCTGCATTTTTAAATGCTTTAAACCTGTTAAATTTTCAATGGCATTGATATTGAATTACTTATTTAAAAAATCGAAATCCCATTTCATCCCATAAATGTTATTTTATTTACTTACAAAATTGTATTTTTTATTTCCAATGTTTCAAAAAACAGCCGACATTCTTTTAATATTTTTCACAGATTTTTATTTTAATCAAGTATTTTTTGCACACTTATTATTTAAAAAATTACACCATTTTATTATACTTGGGGGTCAAACGATTAAGTCTCGACCTAAAATAGATATTAAATATTTCTTGCAAGGATGTGTATCCACCCCAACTCAATTTTAATGTCAACATATCCTTTGTGGTTTAATTTTTGAAAAATGCGCAAATTTTTTTATAACTATTTATTGTAAAAGTCTATTTTTAAATTTCCTACGAACTTTTGGAAATATTTGTCGTGGAATAGCTCGGCATTCTTAAACTATTCGTTGTCGCAGATCTTCAAAAGAATGAGGAGTTTTGTAGACCACAAATTTAAAGTGACACCATACGAAAAAGTGGTATCAAATCTGGAGATCTAGGAGGCAATTCTATTGGTCTTCTTCTACCAATTCACTATTCTGGATAACTCTGATCCTGTCAAGTCCAAACTGATACTACATAATGATGGTGCCCCATCTTGCTGAAAATGTAATACATTTTCATCCAAAGCTAGTTCATCATCTTCTTCTATTTAGTGTTTTAGTTCATGTATTATAACTTATATAATATATAATTTATAAGTGGCTGTATCGTTTCATCGAACTTTTCAGTTTATTTATCAGAGTATTTAAATTTTGGTGATTAAATAAGGGGCAAATAATACAATCTCCCAAAATTCCTCCCCAGATATTAAGTTTTTTTGATTTCTGGGTTCGATTTTCTCTGATGAGATAAGGATTTTTATTGCTCCAATAATTGTATTTACATTTAGATAAAAAGAAGATAAATAAATAAATAAATAAACAATTATATATAAACAAATAACATAGGTAGTCAAAATATTACAATACAAAGTTTGGTTTAACATAATTTATCACTAGAAGTTTTCTATATATTTCAACCCCATCACAGCTTTTTAATTCATTTGGGTGGCTATTAAATAATACCAAACCATTTACAAAAACAGTTTTTTTATGGACACTTTGTACTAAAATTAATTTGTTATTTAAATATGCAGGAAGAATTCCAACCTTGACTTTAAATGTAAATAATAATCTTTTAAAAACCACATACCGTTTTACACTCAAAACACTTAATATATCAATCATCATTTTGATTGGAGTATACCTGTTACATTTTAAAATAATTCTTAATGCTTTATTTTTAAGTTTTTGTAGTTTTTGTATTTCATTATTATTTATACAGAAAAACACAGTTGAACAATAATCAAAATGTGGAGCTATAATGGCTAGATACAACAATAATTCCACTTGCAATGAAAGATTTTTTCCCATTCTACCAAGAAAATATACTTTTTTTGAAATTTTATTTAACAAATACAAATATATTTACATTATCAAAATCTATAATAACAGTTTTATTACTTGATGAAATACACATTTATTTGGTTTTACTTAGATTTAGACACATATTATTATCACAAATCCATTTATAAATATTTTCTAATTAAAAATTTAAAACATTTACCATATCAAAAATATTATCACCACTAACATAAATCATAGTATCATCTGCGAAAATAGAAATATCACAATTTTTGGCATACTTTGGTATATCATTTATATACAATAAAAATAATAGAGGTCCCAAAACAGTACCCTGAGGTACTCCGTAATAGTTTTCAATTTCATCTGACATTACATTATTAATTTTAACAATTTAAGATCTATTGGTAAAACTATTTTTTAAAGCTTTTTAAGCAATAATTCCCTATTTACAGTTTCGAAACCTCGCTTAAATTCCAAGAAAACAGAAATAATAATTTTTTCCCAATTTCTTTATCAAATTTGTCATAAAAATCCAAGACAACAGATTCACAACTGTGATTTTTTCTAACTGATTAATTATTTACAATTACACTATTATTTAAACAATATTAATCAATCTGTTCTTTTACACATACTTGAGATTTATTGCTAAAGCAAATGTTTTTATTATTTGTAACTCAGTTGTTATCTTATTTAAAATTATTTCACAAAATTGTAAACGCCTATCTGCATCATCATCGCAAAGTTCTTGTGATTTTTTTTTTGAATGGGTGGAATTTGTGATGTTTATCATCTTCCTAACAGACTCAGGGCACAGCCCTGTTAATCTAGATACCGAACGGTGTGATATTATATTGAGTATCCTAGAATTGCTTTGTAAAACAAGACCCAAAGACAAGTTGCCTGGTTATTTGAATGCACTATAGGATGGTTTATTACTAAACTAATTTAAGGCAAATTATTTTTAAAAAATAACAACCTTTTTTTTTAGAAATGGAGCACGTTTAAGCAGCGCCAGAGCCTACTTAAGACCAAATCGAAACCGTCCAAACTTACACGTGATGCTTAATTCCACTGCAACAAAAATAAACTTGCGCAAAACTGGCAACCAAAAAACCATTGACTCTGTGGAGTTCATTTATATGGGCAAAACCTTCACTGTAAAAGTTAACAAAGAGCTAATCCTTGGTGCGGGAGCTTTAAACACGCCTCAGATATTATTATTATCTGGTATAGGTCCTAAAGCGCAGTTGGATAAAGTTGGAATTCAACAAGTGCACGAATTGCCAGGCGTGGGTCAAAATCTACAAAACCACGTAGCGTTTTACATAACCTACGTCATGCAAAAAGTGAAAGCAATAAATGATTTGGATTGGGCCAAGGCTTTGGACTACATTTTGAACCGTAAAGGGCCCATGTCCAGTACTGGTATGTCGCAATTGACAGCTAGAATAAACTCCAAATATGCCGACCCAAGTGGTAACTACCCGGACTTGCAGATTTTTTTCGCCGGTTATTTGGCTAACTGCGCCAAGTCCGGTGAAGTTGGAAGAGCCTTAGATGACGATAAACCGGATGCACCAAGGCATCTAACAATATCACCTGTAACTCTTCATCCAAAATCCAAAGGTTTCGTGGGATTGCGATCCAAGAACCCTCTGGAACCTCCGGTAATGGTTGCAAATTATTTAGAAGAACCTGAAGATGCTGCTGTGTTGGTCGAAGGTGTAAGAGTTATACAACGCTTAATGAATACCACGGTGATGAGGAATAAATATGGAATGAAGTTGGATAAAGATGAGCATGGGGATTGCGCCAAAAAATTCGGGTAAATACTTAATTTTATTTTAAAAATATAAATACAGTAAACTGGTCAACTGTACGAGCCCATTTAAGATCTTTGTTTTAATTACAATGTAATAAATCTTTTTATGGTTGTGTTTGATGCAAACCAGTTTTTGCAGTTAGGAATTTGATGTTTTTTATAATACCGTATGAAATTTAAATTTTGTAGATGTATAATTAAGTTATAATTTGTTTTTTAAATTGAAATTAAATAACGGGTAAGAACAAAAAAAGTTGCATTATTATTAAAATAATTTATTTGATTAACACCTATGTAGTTTTTATATTTCATTATTCAAGGAAAAATTTAAAGATTACATATTTATTTTTAATATAAACTGCGCACCACTCAATGTGTCGCCACCAAAAAGGTCGTCCTTTTTCAAAACGACATAACTTTTTTGTTTCTTGAACGATTTTATTTTGGTCTGTGATGTCTGTTAACCCCATCATCTGGCAATTTATGTTATAGAAATTAAGCCCACGGTTTTTCAAGTAAATTTTCTACAGGGTGTTATGTAAAACGGTGAAAAATTTCAATAACTTTATCCAAGCCCCGTTTGAAAAAAGAAATATTTTTTCTCGTTTTTACTTTAAAATAATGAAGTATGTCTTATCTTAAAAAGGTTTTAAAATTTTTCAAATTGGAATCTTAGAAACGAAAATATGATTTTTTTTCCAAAAGAGTACATTTAAGGCATTTTGGTAGGCAATAAACTCTTTTTAAAAACAAGAAAATAAGATTGTTCCTTGATTAATTCTGAAAAAGCGACAAGCAACAAACTTCCATTATTTTCAGAGCAGCCTAAGCAAAGATTACTTTTTTAAAATTACATTTTGGTGAAAATTTGCGAAAACTAAACCTGAACCGATATTTACATTCGTGACATGTTTTCTTTATAATTTTGACCTCCTGATTGTAATTCAGTTGTCAAATTTAAGTTTCAGATAAAACCAAAATCACCAAGGATCAAAAAGTGTTTTTTGCATATTTATGATTAAAATGCCATTTGGGGATTCATGTTTTGGGCGATTTGTTTGAGTGGTTAGGATAATGTTACATAACTTATATTTAAATTGCGCAGTAGTGATAACATCATTGATAAGTACCTACCTAATTGGTAATAAAGTTAAATGCAAATATTTTGTTGGGAGGTCAAAATTATGAAGAAAACATAACGAACGTAAATATCGGTTTAGGTTTAGTTTTTGCCAATTTTCACAAAAATGTCATTTTAAAAAGTGGTCTTAGCTTAGGCCCTCTGAAAATAATGGAAGTTTGTTGCTTGTCGCTTGTTCAGAATTATTTAAGAAACATTATTTCACCATCTTATCTTCTTGTTTCTAAGCAGACTTCTAAGCCTTAAATGTACTCTTTTGGATTTTTCGTTGCTAACATTCCAATTCGAAAAATTGAAAAACTTTTTAAGGTAACACATAAATATTTCAAAGTAAAAACAAGAAAAAAATATTTTTTTTACAAACGGGGCTTGGATGAAGTTATTGAAATTTTTCACCGTTTAACATATCACCCTGTAGGAAATTTACTTGAAGAACTGTGGGCTTCATATCTATAGCATGAATTTCCAGAGGATGAGGCTAGCGGACATAATAGAAAAAATAAAATCGTTCAAGAAACAACAAAGTTATGTCGTTTTGAAAAAGAACGAACTTTTTGGTAGTGAGCAATAAAATAAAAAATACATTATTGATTATTTTGGTTGTTTGCGCCAAAATTATGAAACTGACTGTTTTTTGTTTTAGATATGACACGGATGACTTTTGGCACTGCGCTGTACGTTACTACACTGGCCCAGAAAACCACCAAGCGTCATCATGCAGAATGGGACCAAAGTCCGACCCAATGGCGGTAGTGAACAACAAACTGCAACTGTACGGAGTTGATGGTATAAGAATAATGGACGCATCCGTGATGCCATACCTGGTATCCGGAAACACCCATGCCACCATAGTGATGATTGCCGAAAGAGGCGTTGAATGGATAAAACAAACATGGCAACCGACGAACTCGATTGCGAATAGAAATGGTGTACCAGATGCGCCCAGGGTTGGTTCAGCTTCATCGGGTGCAGCTGCAGCTAAACCTGCACCATCAAATCCGAAACCTTTCCAAGGTTATAATTACAATCCTTACAACCATCATGGTCATAATTTTCAGCATAACCAGGAGTGGCACAATGCCCATCGTATACCGATGCCCAATCAAAATAATTACAAAAAGCACAATTTGTTTGTTGAGAGTGGGCAGTATGATCCAAATATATTCGAATATATTTAAGTTTTTTGTAATTTAAGTTTTGTTATTTGTTTCAAATAAAGTATTATTATTAGGAGTGATATATCCATAATTTTCTTAAACGTTATCTTACAATAATTTTGACATCCTTACAATAAGCCAATTTGGCAATCGCAATAGCGATATTAGCAACATTTTTTAAAATGTCGACAGAGTGGTAGTATTGCAATATTGGGAAGTGTTTTAATCTTTAGAAAACTCCTAATCGATTGGTAAAATAAAATTTGTTGGTGCGGAAATTTTCCAGGTCAATTTCTAAATTGATTGGACTATTAGGAGCCTAGGGAAATAAAGGCATTAAAATTAAATATTAAACTTTATTTCTGACAAAAGACCTAGTAAAGTGCTTAGAACTAGATAGTTCAATATTAAAATTATTTGGGTAAATGAAATTACAATTTAAAAATATATAATGTTGGCAGGGGCTGATCCAGAAAAATATTGGGGGGGTTTAAGATAATAATGTACATTATGGTGGTTCAGAAAAAAAAACGTTATTGAGTCTTGCCTCCACATGGCTTATTTTTTTGTAAGAATTTAAAATAATATTCGTACCAATAGAGAAACAGGTAATGCTCAGTCTCGAGCTTACCCATCAGATGCTCTAGTACCTAATGTGTTACCAGGATTTGTATTTAATAAGATAGCAAGTAATAACCGTCTCAACATTTGAAAAAATTATTGTACGGAAACTTGTCTGGATTGATAGCATTAACTATTCCGACTATTTAACCGCTCTCAAAAAGCGTAACCAACTATTGATCACACTGCTATTGGCATATTTTAGAATCCTTTATTTTTTAGTTTTAGAAAAGAATTACTTAAAAAATTAGGAACCACAAGTCGAATATAAGGAATTTTTGGGCCTGTCTCTTCGGTTTCTTCTTGGATGAAATGCGGTCCAGAGACCTACACAAACAAGTTATTTTCTTACTTTTTTACCCTTATGAAGGTACTCCCAAAGTTTCAGATTTTAAATTAATTTTTAACCTGAGCCCCGACCACTTTAAAAATCAGTTACAAACAAGGTTTTTTTTACTTTTTGACTCTTCTGAAGGTTCTTCCAAAGTTTCAGATTTTAAATTAATTTTTAACCTGAGCCCCGGCCACTTTAAAAAAGATAAAAATTCAGAAAAAGGTAAGAAAACTCATGTTTTTTTCAAACGAGGCTTTTACTTTTTTATTCTGAAGGTACTTTTAAAATAATGAGATATTTTATCTCGCCCAAAATTTTTATTTTATAGGTTGGCTAATAGCCAATGGCTATACTTTAAACAGCATACTAGTAAAATAATATTTTGCCTATTGGTTATAATATTTTTATGATTTTTCTCATACTTACGAGACTTTTCTGGCAATAAATTTTGTTTAACATTAACATTAACAGCCGCTTATTGTAAATAAGTAAATTAAGGACGGCATGGCGAATCGATTTTGACATTAACTGCCAAACCAAGGACTGTGATACCAACTATCTAAAGTAAAATTTGATCAAATTAAATATAAGATATAAAATTAATTTTTTTTTAGAATTTTTGCAAAATAGATAAAATAGGATAAAGAACTCATGTCAAAAGACCTTTTGTCGCACTCTTTTATTACAAAAATCGCTCCTTCGTCGCTCGTTTTATAAATTGTCCTCGTGCGACAAATTGACGTGTTATGACATTAGTTCTTTAATATACTATTTAACCTGAGCTTCGACCAATTTAAAAAAAAAAACAGTAAAAATCAGAAAAAGGTAAGAAAAAATCATATTTTTTTTCAAACGAAGTTTTTTCTCACATTTTTTACCTAATTTTTAACCTGAGCCTCGACCACTTAAAAAAAAACAGAAAAAATCAGAAAAAGGTAAGAAAAAAACATATTTTTTTTTCAAACAGGTTTTTTTTACTTTTTGATTTTTCTGAAAAAAAATTTCTTTTTCAGATTTTTAATTTAATTTTTATCCTGAGCTTCGACCACTTTTTTTTCAATTAAGGTTTCTTTTTACTTTTTGAAATAAAACAAATTTACATGAACATTTCGTTTTTATCTTTGTGAGGAATTAGTACTTACAATTATCGAAAATACTGCGCTTACTTTGTTTAAAAGAAAGTTTTAAATTACATGAATTTAAATGTTTGAAATGAATGCGGGATACACCGTTAATTTCATTAATAGTTTTAACGACAACTGTAATTGCATTCATTAAAATTCGTCCAATTTATAAGACTGGTTAATAAAAGAAACTAGGGAGTATAAAAACAGTTTTTTATTTACCTAAAATGCTCAATTCTCGGTTGCGGTTAAATCATACTACACAGAAAAAAAGGAAACAGGAAGTTCCTTGACGTGTTATGACATTAGTTCTTTAATATACTATTTAACCTGAGCTTCGACCAATTTAAAAAAAAAAACAGTAAAAATCAGAAAAAGGTAAGAAAAAATCATATTTTTTTTCAAACGAAGTTTTTTCTCACATTTTTTACCTAATTTTTAACCTGAGCCTCGACCACTTAAAAAAAAACAGAAAAAATCAGAAAAAGGTAAGAAAAAAACATATTTTTTTTTCAAACAGGTTTTTTTTACTTTTTGATTTTTCTGAAAAAAAATTTCTTTTTCAGATTTTTAATTTAATTTTTATCCTGAGCTTCGACCACTTTTTTTTCAATTAAGGTTTCTTTTTACTTTTTGAAATAAAACAAATTTACATGAACATTTCGTTTTTATCTTTGTGAGGAATTAGTACTTACAATTATCGAAAATACTGCGCTTACTTTGTTTAAAAGAAAGTTTTAAATTACATGAATTTAAATGTTTGAAATGAATGCGGGATACACCGTTAATTTCATTAATAGTTTTAACGACAACTGTAATTGCATTCATTAAAATTCGTCCAATTTATAAGACTGGTTAATAAAAGAAACTAGGGAGTATAAAAACAGTTTTTTATTTACCTAAAATGCTCAATTCTCGGTTGCGGTTAAATCATACTACACAGAAAAAAAGGAAACAGGAAGTTCCTTGACGCATATTACCAGTGGTATTATTCCAGAAAATTGAACCTTTAACTCGCTAGAGATAATGTTTTTAGTGCGTTCCACCAACTTAAAATACTAAGTATTGACAGCTGTTTCCACCTATTTAAGGTCTCTTTAGTATTGAACAACTTGTAGTGTCACACCAAAGCAAAGGACTACCTGAGCTTATATACTTTTCATGTAAGTCAACAGAGGCGAGATTTAAGAACATCACCACACCGCCTTTGCCGCGATCGGTACACACTATGCAACCAGGAATGCACGGCAAATTATTTTAATCGTTTTAACAGAGTGCTTTAGGTTGAAGTAACTCTTATTTTACAAACAACATATTTAGTAAACTGAACCATACAGCGGGTTGGTTTCACTAAAGTTTTCTGCGTTAATTTAACCAATTTAAAAAAAAATAACATAACTATCTGGTTTAGTACCGTCAAACTAATCTTTGTTTATATTAACCTTCCCACGGTTGATTTAAATAAATACTTATGGGTCAAAGTAGAGATACAAAGGGGTTTCTCGACCGGAAGTGACCCAGACGCTACGTGACGTAGGCGGTTCTCGATGGTGGCGCCCCCTCTGGTGGGTGGTGGGGGGTGATCATATTAGCTATTGGTGGGCAGGCATTTGGGCAACGCCCTCAACTGATAAGCGTAAGTGAGCCTATTGGTGGGTTGTTGGCGGATGGCGGCTGGCGGATGGCGGCCATGTTTGATAGATATTAGCTATTGGTGTTGTGGTTTAAAGTGGGCGGGGCTTAGGTGTTTAGTTGGCATTACTGGAGATGCAAAAGATAAGCGATATGCATATTGGTTGTTTGTGGTTAGCGTATTAGTTTGGTATTACTGGAGATGCAAAAGATAAGCGATATGCATTTGCTGCAGTGGTTTGATATCCGGGGGGGAGATAAGGATTTATTATTATTTTGTTGTAAATTTCATTTTTGACGCCATTTTGAATTGCTGACGTCATCCGACTTGTCCCGACTTGTGTTTCGGGGGTTTTAATGCGGTAATCAGTTATTTGGAGATAAGGATTTATTATTTTGTTGTAAATTTTTATTTTTAGACGTTCAGTCTCCCGTCCGACCTTATAATAACAACATTTTAAACAGGAGAACATATAATATCATAGGTATTACTAAAAATGATTAGTGTAAAGGAAATTGAAAAGGCAATCCAAAATATTGATAAATTTTTGGAAGAATGTAGTAAAAAAAAGAATAAAGAAAAATTTGAAAATAAATATCCTACTCGACAGGAAATATATCGAGAATTTTTGGAAAAGGAAAAAATTAAAAAATGGACCAGTCAAAAAGAATTTTTGGAGCAACATCTTAATGCTAATGTTGTAAAAACCCAATATGGTAAACATTTTGAGTCGTGCCCCTGGTCAAATTCAGATGAAGGTCCTGATACATGCCCATGCTGTATGGTTTCATTTTATACGAAAGAAGCTAACGAGGTGTTAAATAAGTTACCAAAAATAACATGCTGTTGTAAAATTAATTAAATAAATTCCCTAGCAAAACTATTTTTGATTCAGTTCGTTTAAAATGCGGTGCGTTCAACAGCCTGAAAAACTACCTATAACTAATTTAGATTTATTTGAAGGTAGTTCTGATGTCAGTAAACATGGTAATTTACTACCAAATTCCTTTAGAGCAATTTTTTGTGGTCCTAGTGGGTGTGGTAAAACAAATGCCCTATTAAGTTTAATATTTAATCCTAATGGAGCTAAGTTTGAAAATATTTACGTTTATTCAAAATCACTTTTCCAACCAAAATATCAACTATTACAAAATGTTTTAAGGAAAGTAAAAGGTGTGGGGTATTTTTCATATAAAGATAATGATGAAATAATTGAAGCTGTGAAAGCTCGAAATAATTCAATTTTTATATTTGATGATGTGGCTTGTGATAAACAAAATAAAATACGTGAATACTATTCAATGTGTAGGCATAAAAACATAGATGCGGCCTACTTGTGTCAAACGTATTCAAAAATACCAAAA